TGGGCCAGAATACATACATCTGCGAGTTGTTGGCCTAGAGATGGCATGGACAGCCATGAGACTCAATGAAATCATTAACGGCGTGAATTTAGAGAGAGAGGACCAAGGACTGAGCTCTCAGAAACGCTGAAGTTAAGGACTAAGGAAGGGAAATGAGGACCAGCCGGGGAGATGGAGGAGTAACCGAGAGAATAACCACTTCCAGCGCTTTCTCATGCTCACCTTCTTGACCACACATCAAGGTCCTGGCCAGTGTCAGGATGGTTCATACCTTGAGGCTTCTTCCTACGTGCTGTTCTCTATAATCAGAATGTTCTTTTTCCTTTCTCAACTGGTTAACTCCTTCTCATCCTTCGAAATTAAGTTTAAATATCACCACTTTTAAGAAGCCTCCCTTTCTCCTCTAGTCTGAGATGCTCCTCTCTATGCTCTTTTCTGCATAATGCACCATAGCCCTTGTCGTGTGGAACAGGAAACGCAGCTTACGCATCCACCCCGCACATGACTCAACACAAGGGTATGTCGTTACAGCGTGCTGAGCATTTAGTCCAGTATTCGGCATACAGAAAGGACCTAAAAAATATCTGTTGAAGGAAAGACAAATATATAAATGCTTACTTCACCCCACAGAAATGCTCTTAAGATGGTTAATGCACATCAAAGTGCTTAGGAATTTTTCATATTCATAATCCTCTATTAAAAACTTTTTTTTTATATGCTACTTAAATCAACTCTGTGGAAAGTTATTTTATGAAGCAAAGAATTCTATTCTAACACACAAAAAAATCAGCTGTGATTGCAAGTTCCTATTTCTATACATTTTGGGGGGATTTATATACTATTCATATATATAAAATGAATTGGAGGAGATACTTTTATATTGCATTTTTACATGTGCTTTTAAATATATACTTATATTTGGATGTTTGGGGTAAAATAAAATCTAAAAACAACTGCCAGAATATGTACAAATAAAATTTCCCACCTTTAAAATGGGGACCTGGGACCAGCACACTATATAATATCACCTATGGATATAAACTATCAAATGAAGAATAGTTAAAATTATACACAGGTGTCTAAGGAGAATTAAAACATTGTGCTCAAGTCTTTGCGTTCAAAAAATAAAAAAATTGAGAATCTCTCAGGAACTTTTTATCACCTGAGGAAAACTCTCTCTCAACTTTAAGAAGTTTTGTAATCTTATTAAAGGAAACATAAACTTTGACCCCCTCGGTCATGTTTAGAAAAAGTAATTCCATATGTTTATTAAATTAGAAAAGGTAATTATGTCAGAGGCCAAACATGCAGAAAATAAAGACAAACTTGAAGGCAAAGCCACCTCCTGATCACCCCCTTTCCCCTTGAGATTAATCTCTGACCATGAGAGAAGATTCTGGACAAGGCAGAGGAGGTGATTTAGGTAGCTAAGAGTGGATTCAAATTTTGGATCTGCCATTTAAAGAAAAACGAAACGATAGCGGAAATTGCAACAATTCGTTTTTTAATCATTGCTCTGGAGTGGCCCTAGAACCTGCCATAAACTTCCCAGCTCTCCTGGGCTTTACAGCCCAAATTCCTGTTTCCACTTTCTTCCTTTAAGTTTCGAGCAGTGTTTGGCATGAGAAAAACCATTTTACAACTCAGGGTCTTTCATCCATATTTGCTACAAGCAGAGTTCGGTTACAGGCTGACTTTGGGAGCGTTCTGGACTTCTTCGGTCTCTTGATATTTACCAAGCATCGTTCAATGAGGACTCAGAGAGCTAAGACCAAAGCATGTCGCAAGAGTGTTAAATTACTACCTCATTGCTTACTGAGTGGGATTCGGCATAATCTTTCTCAATATTAAGCTTGTCTTTCTGACAGATTCTGTAAGGAAGCGGTTTGATGGAAACAAAAGAAGGAACGCCTCGAAAACCAGCCTCACCAATCCCCCGCCTTCCAAATACCTCGCTCAGGTTGGCGGCCACGTGCACCATACACAGCAGCCGCGATACTTAATTATGCTGCCACTGGAGGAACTATTTGTACCTGTCAATCACAGGACCGAACTGGCAGAGAACTGCTGCAGGCCAACCTATTCACAAATCTGCCTTCTCCTGACCAAACACGGCAACGTGATGTAATCTTCCTAGAGCGTCTATTGTTCAAGACTTGCAAAGAATGTTAGGATTGTACGTGCGGTGGGCTTGTGGAAGGACTAGCCTCTAGAACTACGAACACGTCTGACATTATTTTCTCTAATGTTAAAGACCAGCTGGGTTAACCCTTCACTATCCGTCTCTCTCACTAGAGTTCAGGCCCCAAGTCTGTCTGTCATTTTTAAGATCAAAATCTTTTAGTTAATTTTCTTGTCAAGCCTATTTTTTTCCTATATGGCGCATATGTAAACAATGGGCAAAATATACAACAGTCAGAAAAACATGTCATTATAAACATTTCTTAGACCAGAGTCCAGGTCTCGAAATTCAGTAACATGTCAGGGGACAGCTTCAGAGCTGTGGTCACACTCTTCTCTGGCATGTAAACATAGCTGTCGCAATCTGGAAGATTCCAGATTCAAACCGGTCAACACCATGAAAGGGGTCTAGTTTGAGAGTTTCAGGGCCATCATACTTACTGTCTTTGGCACCACATGCTCTGGAAATCACCCTTTTATAAAACTGAATATTTTTTAAACTAAATTTTAATGCATGTCGCCTCATCAACAAGAAACATAAGCCATGCCTAATACAATTATTCCTTCTGTCTACGGCCATGCCACCCTGAACAAGCCCGATCCCATCTGATCTCGGAAGCTAAGCAGGGTTGGGCCTGGTTAGTACTTGGATGGGAGAGCACCTAGGAAGACCAGGTGCTGTAGGCGTAAAAAATAAATAAAAAATAAAAAAATAAGGGATTGTAAGCTGACAAGGTCCTTGCAATCTGTGAGGTCAACCAAGGGTTGCCTCGCCTAAATTAATTAATTAATTCATTAATTAATTAAAATAAAATAAACAATTATTCTTTCAATCTACTAGTACATTCAGTCCATGAGGGCGGGAATCATGTCTACGTGACAATATATTCAACACTAAACTCAAATGTTAGGTCTGTACTTAATAATTAGCAAATGAATATATCATACTAACAAGGCAACTTTGAAAGTTCTCTCCCAGTTTCCATATACTAAGTTCATGCATGAGAGGGCCACAGGTATTCACAAGCCTGTAGCATGAATCTGGCAGTGTCATTAAGTTACTGCAAATCTAGTTAGACTTTTCATTGTTTAAGGAAGGACCTAGGCTTTACATGTCTTTTTTCTGCCTGTAGGGACTAACACTCGCTGCAACCAATTCTGATGTTGGCTAAAAGGCAAAATTTTACCTCTGAAATGTTATGATCAATGAATAAATTATAAATTTTGTTACATTTATCTTGAGGTTGAGATGACATTTATTTATGTATAAGAAAGATATGTAGAAAGAAACAAAATGATGAAAACAAGATCAATAGAAGTAAATCAAGAATTTAGAATTGTTCTTAATTCTTTTCACTTGGTAAATGAGTTGTTGCTTCTCCGTTTTACCCCAAAATAGTAAAATAGCATTTCCTAAAAATATGAAGCAAAATATACTTTTGGAAATGTCTATTGCTGTTTTTTTCCTTTCATCTCAACTGATAAGTTATTTGCTACAAGAAAAAAAGGCTTCTAAAGCCACTAATAGTGATTTTGATAACTCTGTGTTTGATATCTGATTTTAAAGCATTAATGGGTACAGGTAGAAATAATAATAATTGCAACTCTTATTCAAACAATATGAAAAGGATTTTCATGTTCATTGTTGTCTTAGAAAAAATAACCACAGAGTTTACTACTTCTAAAAGAAATGGGGCAGATGACTTTCTTTTTGAATTTATCCAGAAATCTCTCCTTCCATAGGTATATGGAAATTCGTAGGTATATGACATGAATAGGAAATTTATAGGTATATGAAATTCAATTATATAGTACAATCATGTCACTATAAATAGATCTACAAAGTAATGATACTGTCTTTTACAAGAGAGGCAGAACTTAAATCTCCCCAATGCAATCCTGTTGTTTAGGGAATCAGTTTAAAAGGGGATCCTTATTTTCTCTGTAAAGACTTCCCTAACAACCCATGCATGGGTCGCTATTGAATAATATATAACATATAAGACATAAGGATATATCTAATACAACAGCATTTATCATACTGTAGTTCATGTATTTCTTCCATGCCTACCTCATACCCACCACCCAAAGTGGATTCATCAAAGAACAGGCTAAGTCTCATTCTCATTTTTAGTCCCAGTATCTAATAAGGAGTTGGAATAATAATAATAATAGGCCCTTGACAGATATCCAATAAATGAGTGAATAAACCAAAAAAATGATTCAATTAATACTAAAAAATATTTCTGAAACTTATTTATGACTACCTCCAGAACCATTTTTGTCATCTAAGAAAATAATTGTCATTATTCCATAGTGACACCTCATGTAAATTAAAACAATACTCCACATTTTATCCACAAGACATGATAGTGATGTTTCCGTGATGAAATCCTTTCTTAAAAGAAAGAAATTAACTGAGAGCATCTAACAGACCATACTTCAGGATCTGAAGGCAGCAGGCACCCAAATCCACTCTCCCAGGAGAATAACCATGATGAAGGCCTTATTTATCTCTATGACTTTTATTATCATTTTATAGATACACTTCATGGAAGAAAATGTTTACCACTATTCTGAAATAATCAATGACAAAGACAAGCTATGCTCTCCATGAAAAATATAAGTGAAGCCACACACACTAATAGAGCGACTTGTGTGATGTCCATGGCAACTCATCTCTGATTCTCAGAGAGAAGATTAAGAACTTATAGGTGATTAATCCATTCCCTTTTGTGGACAACATAATTAGAAAAATCCACATTAACCTCAACACCAGAATTTTAATATTGTGCTAGAATCCCCCATATGCCTCCAATGA